GCAACTGAGCAGTTGAGGTCAGCCTTCAGGGAGGAGCGAATGCCGAGCAGGACTAGTGGCAGATGTTCCGTCCAGCGCTGTGGATTGTCGGAAGCTCGGAGTGCAGCTTTCAGTTGTCTGTGAAAGCGCTCTACCATGCCGTTGGCAGCCGGGTGGTAAGCCGCTGTGCGAATGCGAGATGTGCCAAGTAGTGACATGAGCGATGACCACAGGGATGACTCAAATTGGGCACCTCGGTCGGTTGTGAGCACAGTGGGAACACCAAATCGGGCGACCCAGGTGGCAACAAACTGGCGAGCGACGGTTTCGGCTGTAATGTCGGGAATAGGTACTGCTTCGGGCCAGCGAGTAAAGCGATCTACCATCGTCAAGAGGTAGCGAGACTCACTAGAAGATGGAAGCGGGCCTACGATGTCGACATGGACATGGGAGAAACGGGCATCAGGTTGCTTGAATGCACTCACGGGAGATGTGGTGTGGCGCTGAACTTTAGACTGCTGACAAGCGTGGCAGGAACGACACCACTCACTAATATCCTTGTTCATCGCGGGCCAGACGTAGCGAGCTGTAATCAGGTGCCTGGTAGCGCGGGTACCAGGGTGGGAGAGGCCGTGAAGCGAATTGAAAACAGCACGGCGCAGCTTGGCAGGTACATACGGGCGGGCAGACGCAGTAGAGGTGTCACAGATGAGCGAGTGATCAGTCATGGGCAGAGCTATAGATTGCCAGCATAGCGAAGTGGATGGATCCTTACCAGGACTGGGCAAGTCTGGATCATCTTGTTGAGCGGCGGCAAAGGAAGCTGTGTCAATGGCAGTGATGGCAGAGACGGGCTCATCGGGTAGGTGGCATCGTGACAGTGCATCAGCGGCAGCATTCTGAGAACCCTTGACATGACGAATATCTGTCGTGAACTCAGCAATGTACGACAAATGGCGCTGTTGACGCGGGCTGTGGGTCTGTGAACGGCTGTGGATGACATTTAGTGTTCGCCAGTCCCGTAAAGATCGCTGCGGATCGCCGGGCCAGTACTGCGGCAGTCGGAAGGTGATGGCAGACACCGGACGGTCCGGTGCGTCGTGTTGGTCGTTGCGGGCGAGTGGTTGGTTTTGGGCCGGGGCGGAGGAGCTAGCGGCAGCTGAAGCTCCAGAGGCGGAAGCGGAAGAACCATCGTCGCTGGACATATTGCACTTTACTCACGTCGGGGGTCACCAATTTAGTAGTCTAGATACAGTGCAACGAGTGTTAGTTTCCAAGATCTTTACAAGACTGGCGAACACTAAATGTCATGAAGAAAGTGAAGAGAAAGGAGGTTTATATAGGAAAGAGATTGTGATAGAAGACTGTGCAATGAAGTTTGTTGTTTTGTTAGATATCTGACGTGTGCTGTTTGGAAGAAGTGTTTGGATGCAAACAGAACTTACAAGAGATGAGTAAAGACTACTTTTCTACAATAGCGTTGTAGGCGAGGAGTGCGTAACATCAAAAGATGTCGTAATGTGGATTGGAACTATGCTAGCCAAACATTACGTAATTATTATGGTAGAGAAGTACGTGTAGTAGGTATTACAATGTGTGCGAGAGTATGGTGAATCAGTGTTTGTGATGATGAGGAAAATATGACGTGTACATGCAAACAAATGATGATGTCATGATGCGAGAACGTCAGAGACGCTACATACTCAGATGCAGAAAGCAGCCACAAAGAGACATAGAAGCTTCCACACGAAGTCTGTACACTCTACTCGCCTCTCACAAGTCTCAGTTCTACATGATTCTACATGATTGTACTCAGGTACAGGTCGATGACGCTTTGTTGCCCATTCCATCTCGGATAGCACAGCCTTTAGGGCAATGTGCAAGTTGTATGATCACTCTTACTAAAGTTGCCATGGAGGCGATGTGAGAAGCGAGCCAAAGACACCTGTGCAATGAAATCATGCGGCATTGCCACTGTGTGTTATAAGTAAGTTGTAACATGGCTGCAAGTAGGTCACGTCATAGAGGTAGCCGACTCGACCATTTTGCAGTTTGGCTGCGGGCAATAACCGTTACTGATCAGAGATTCTCAATCTACGGCGGGGACTGCATCTTTCCTCTTACTCCTCACGGAAGCTTCAACCTGGCCAGCACTGTTACCCTGTGTGTACCCTGTTCACAGCTCAACAAAACATTATAATAATTATTATCAGTGAAGGCCGGTGACGCATGGCCATGGCCTGGGCTAGGGCAGTGGGCACGTCCATGCTCACGCCACGTCCATACCTACTGTACTGTTTCAAGGATTTGGTTCTGCTGTGCATGTTAGCATGACTTTGCACTCCAATTCCAGTGGACTCTATGGCACCTTGAATGCATACTGTATCACCTCAACTCTCAAGCACTCACCAAAGCACTCCCACACGCACACACACACACAAACAGGCACACACACACACACACACACATACACACACACACACACACATACACACACACACACACACACACACACCTTGTGGTACTCTACACATCATTCGAAACACACATTGAAACGAAATTATTTAGCTTCGTGTGGCAACCTCCTTTGCGAGACATCAGATCATATGCTCACAAACACACCCACTCGAACACCGATTTGTAAGATAATCAAACGAGATATCCCGAGAATATTAATTAACTCAATTTCGTTTTCTGATCCGACCACGACCAGCGGACGACCTCAACGACGTGCATGTCATGTAGATCTACATGCAACACGATTCATAGGATTTAGTGCGGATGTTTAATCTAGGATTAGGAGTATGTTTGCTTCTATGCTCACGGTACTGCAATCCTGTATTGTGCGATGTTGCTAAACGGGTTCAGTTCAGTCAAGCTGACGCCCAATTTGCTCCCAACATCGTTTCAAACGCGGGTCATGATTGAAGCTTCCACACTTGTACGAATTGCTCGGATCTGGCCAAATTGCTTTCATAGCGTCTGTGCATGTGGGAGCGCATCTTGAAACGAGATCAATGCTTCGTCCTGTTAACATTGTCCAAGGGTGTGCTGCTCAAAGCTGAGATGACCATTCACATATATGGTGAAAAGCCCACTACTACAACGTAGTAGATTGTATTAGGTAGGAACAATCGCAATCGCTTCTCTCTCTCCTAGCCTTCAGGATCCAGGAATCGTGCATATTGCGCTCATCACTGGCGTAATGACTCCATTCTCTCAGCTCTCTTTGTTTTTGTTGTGGGCTAGGAGTCACGTGATGTTGGATTGGGATGTCCCATCATTGAGCTAGAGAAAGCGGAAAGTAGCGAGTTACGTGTCACTGTGGCACCGGAAATTAGGAAAAGAGCGCGGAAGTTCTGCGTATTCCAAACGGAGCAGCATTTGATTGTGCTGCCAAAAACCAAAGGATTGACCTAACAGAGCAGACGCGGCCCCGGTATTGTGTGTACATCGTATTCTCTACTTTGACCTTTTCTAAGGGTTTCAAGGCGTGAGAAGCAAGATTTTGATAATTATACGTACCGCTATAATCACTTGCTATTCGTGTTAGCAATGTTTCATGGTGGGCTTCCTCTGCACAGCAGGAAAACATTGATAACAAATGGACCGCAAGCTATCTTGACAATGCTAGAAGTTAGGTTAAACATGAGTATGTAGGCACGACCTTCCTGAAGATCACATGAGTGTAATTCTGTAATGGCATCTCTGCATCAGCCAAGCATCACACGTGCCACCATGGCCTTTTTGTGAGTTAGCCGCCAATGCCAGTGGAGCAGGATGGCTGAAGTCGGCCAATAGGTGTAATACCGCCCGCCTGGCAGCTATCAAACTTACATGAGGTTTTCAGGAGAGCCAGCATGTGTCCACTGTCCAGCTGAGCTGACATCAGGCATCATGATGTGCTGTCCTTTTCATGTGGACGTGTTGTTTTATGTCAGCACTGTGCCTTAGCAAGTAGAGTGCGTATTAGTATCACTAAAGTACCGTACATGTAGTAGCAGAACGACGGACACCAGTGCACTACCGACATTGTATCTTCCACCAATATAACTGCGATGTTATAGAGAGTTTGTATACGGTCGTGTACATGTACATGCACATTGATGTGGTAGTAGCGTAGAGAGAAAACGCCACAATGAAAACTATTTTTAAAAATAGTTTTCACCGTGGTGCTGTCATTATATACTGTATAATACTAGTACCTTATTTAATGGCTGCGCATGGGTACGGTAATCGTTTCTCGTTTGGCAAACACTGCGGAAAGTGCTTCACGCTTCGCACTGGGGAAAGTGCTCCATGCCTCGCACTGCTGAAGTTGCTTCATCCGTAATGCCCAGTGCACACTTGGAAGGTCTGTCAGGCAAAAGACTCACGTTCGGGTCATGCTGGTCCAAGAAGCCGGTATTAGGCAGTCGTCTCCCGCACCAGACGGGGCTCGCTCGACCACTGCACCGGCTGTTTCCTTGTTCAGTTGTCCACAGTCCCCGCCATCGTGCTGTGGCTGGTACTTGTCCGTGACCTCTCTCGGAGTGCAAGCTGTAGCGGCGCATTTGCACTGCAGGGTGGGAATGTCACAAAGACGTGAGAGTGTTTAGCACAGAGCATGACCTGGGAATCTGAAACACTGGCTTATACTACATGTAGAGCAGTGCACGAATGTTGCCGTGGTGCACAGCATGAGATTCAGGATTTCACTTGGGTCATGCGAGCAGGCTCAAGTCCAACCTGGATTTCAGAGACGATCCCGTGGAATACTACAGAGCGGGCCACTTGGATGGCACTTGGCCAGGCTCTTAAAATGTACAGGACAACATCGTTGATGGACTACCACACCTTCACGGGCGCAAGACACAATCGTCGCATCAGTCCACAGACTCTATACGCTACCGTCTACTGCTGTCAGTGCAGACACACACGCCGTTGCTTTGTCGAAGCCCTCGTACTCCCTGCTGCCATGCACCTTGGCCAGATCCGTTCGCTTGTGAGCACCACTTGTGTTTCACAACCTAAATGATCCCCGGAAAGCAACATGGACATCGCAGCGTGCAGGGACCTGCCAGTCAGCGTATTCATGGCATACTCGATGGGGCTTTCACCGCTACATTCTTACTCAGCAGTATTCACGACAGGTCCATCAAACCAACTCACATCCAAGCGCCAGGACTGCTGACTAAACGGGGAGAACTACATAATGCTCCGAGCGGAAGGCACAGATTCACAAGCTAAGGTAGTAAGGAGAGCTGCTACAACAGCGGAAGGCAGAGGTTTCGATTTGGAAGCTTCCTAGGCCTGGTCGTCACTAGTGATCCCTCTATTTGGGAATTCGAGTTAAAGCATAGCTCCTGGATAGCTGCTGGGCAAAGAACTGGCCAAAGAGTCGTAAACGACCTGTAGCGCTTTTAATTATCCATTACAAATTCTACACAGCAGTGTGTAGATTGTGTGTGCTGGTGCACTGCAATCGTGTGCTATCAGCCTGCCTCTTCCGTTTTGTCATCCACCGCGACCGGCACTTTGAAAGGAAAACCGGCGAGATTGTGGTGAGTGCGACAAAAGCCTTCTGGTCATCAGCAGCTTGTTCGACATTTAATTCTTGGTGAACTGACAGGCTTTTCGTTATCCTCCTGGTGCTGGTGTTGGTGTTTTGGTTCTGATTCCGTGTCGGTGTGCGTTGCACAACGGGATTTTCGTGTTGATAGTGTGAACGGAGAGCCCTGCTGTCAATTGACGGTGCAGTGTGCGCTCAAAGTACCGTCACAGCTGAGCATTAGTGCCATCTCCCACTGCACAACACAGCTCAAGGGCAGGTAAATTTACAGCATCTGAATGGACTAAGTGCAACTTGCGCCGCACAAGTGCTTCGCCTTGCCATCGACTCTGCCAAAACCGAGAGCTGAAGAACGCTCCAGAATCCTTTACCAACCCCGTCGGCAAGAAAGGCCAACCTAACGAGTGCATTCTTACAAGCCTGTTGAGCACGGCAACATACGGCACGAACATAGGCAAGTGTGCAGCTGCTCACACCAACGGCGTGGGGTGCGAGGCATACTAATAGGCTCCGCGAGACACTGTGACCAACTGTTCCTGAGAGGATCTGCAGAAGTGGAGGGAGAGGCTGGCACTCTACCAGCGCCATAACAGTCGTTCTCTCCCAGCGTGATAAACGTCCCAGCGTGTACCGTACACCGTACACAACACCTCTGGGAAAACGCGCTCTAACTGAAGACGCAGTCCTATCCGCTGCTGCTCGACCGACAAGTCTATCGGCACGCAGTATCTACGCGGCCGACACTGCATAGGAAGGCAGAGCGGGAAAGAAAGGAAGAGCTCCACGACTGAGTCAAGCTCGTATCGGGATCTCCGGGACAACTGGCGGATATCTTTCACAGGACGTGTCGACCTAGTTATTGCAAAAGGCACGGTAGTAGGCGCAGCGGATATCAGAAGACCAGGGGGAAGACTCAGAGACAGTGCTATACCTCTGTCTTCTCCAGCAACTGCATCCTGACGGAATATTACTGTGTGATGATCTAAATATGAGCTTGTCTGCAGCAGTGAGTAGCATGGCGTTGGCTGACGGCAGACCTCCTCACCTTACGAATGGAATGGCTACGACAGAGTCGACAACCTACGCGTCCATAGCGTCTATGAACGCGTCGCCTGCGGAGTTTATACCGTCCAGGGCCACCCGTCCGTCCAACAACCCCATCCTGCGCGACGCAAACATCGATGGCCGGAGTATCGTCCAACAGAAGGGGTTGTACTGCAGGCCGAGCCGACACAGTCCACGACATCACCACCAGCATCATCCGCATGCAGCGGAGTCAGGAAATGGAGGACTCGTGGGCGACCAGGTACGAACAAATCTGGATCGCAGAGAGAGCACAGCCGAGTACATTGCACTGGAGTTCGCCCATAACCAGCCTAGAAATGCTTCGCAGCATCCTCAGCATGTTCACAGTAACAGTACTACGGGACTACCTGCAATGGACACCAGTGGCTGGTCCTGTCCTGGTAGCAATATGCAGGAGGCTCGTGGCCTGCAGCCCAGTGCACAGTATATGAACCTGGTGCAGCTGAACGACAGCAAGCAGGCCCATGCATGGTTTGGTGGCTCTGCTCATGCGGCCGAGCTCGCCGTGAAGAACGGACGCCAGCCGTTGAACAACGGCCATGGAGTCCATCCTGTGTCATCATCAGCAGTGCCATCAGCAACACATAGTACCCAGCATAACACATGTGGATTGTCCAATGCGGGAAGTGCAGCCTTGTCCACTTCTGGGAAGACGGCATCAAAATCCGGTGCAGGTCTGCCTCAGAATAATTGTATATACGTAAACTCATCTGTCGTAACGAGCAATGGCGGCGAGCAGCCAGCAGCGTCTAAGGATGTGACCCTGTTCGACAAAGAGCCCGTCTACATCAATGCTATTCAAACGCCGAGTGGCGAGAGCCTCCGTCCTCCTAACATCCATACACGATTCAGTAGCACGTCGTCGGCAAGTCCGGCAATTTCACCATTGACGTCCCCCGGTGGTCAAAGCACTGGTGCCTCGCCTGCTAGAACTGGCCTTGTCAATGTGTCCGCAACTGCACTATCCCCGTCATCAGCCAGCTCTGCTTTCGACATGAGTCAGCATAAAGACTACATGGAGAGAACGTATGAGAACGCGAGTGCACAGGCATCACGGCCATCAGGCCCTATGCTAGGAGTGTCTCATATGCGCTCACCGTCCGAGCCTTGCCACATCACTACTGGTGCCAGCGGCCAGGAAGCGATTAGGACGAGGTCCACCCATAGCAACACCATGACAACGCCAGGTCAGCCAATCTACATGAATGATGCATCAGGCGGGCATCATTTAAGTCGTCGGTCGCGTAGCTCTTCATCCCTCCACGCCGAGCACACTCAAGCCGACTTTCACAGCCAGCAGCTGCCAAAAACCGCCGCGACATCATGCAGTAGTCCGTCTTCACCATCCAAGTCACCTATAGCTAGCCCTTGCAGAGAGGAGGTGGAACCAGTAATGTCACCCACCTTCCAAGCATCCAATGCGGACACACTGTTCGGGAAGTTCCAGCTGACGTTCTTGGGAGCGGAGGCTGTCGACCGTGGCTATGGTGTGATACCGCAGGTAGTGCGATCCGTCGCTCAGCGCAGCACTCCGGCAGTCACGCGCAATGTCATCATGGCCGTTTCAGCTACATCTGTCACAGTAAGTACTCCGTCGTGGCAGTGTAAAGCTAGGAATGCCCGACTGGATGGCAGCTTTACATCATAATGTGATGTGCAGATTTAACTTTTTAAATACTATTTCTGCGCATCACAGCACTTGCACAATGTTAGCCAGCTGAACTGAAATCGTCTTCCATGGATAATTGTGAGACGAGTGCATGTTAGCTGTCAAACTTATAAGTAACTTTGCTTCATCACTTTAAACCTGTTACATTCAAATCCTCGTGTCCGCTCAATAAGTGTTTGCTCTGTCAACCCACAACTTCTGCGTCCTAGCTCTATCCATCTTCACCCCCTCCCCCCCCCCCCCGCAATATATTTATCCATTTATCCTGGTATTTGTCTTCAGCCGGGTGTGTATCTTTCTGCAAAAAAATAGAACACCGGTTCATGGTCTCACTGCCGTTCTACCACTAAAATTGTAGATGATTTGTGTTAGCTGACTCATAGTTCATGGTTTTCATTTTCTCGTTTGCAGATTTCCTTGGATGATGGTACGGAAAAGCTGCGGCACGAAGTGGACAGCATCGAGAGTATCTCAGCGTGGCAAGACAGCAGCACGCCTGTCCCTGCCGACCTTGCAAAGTTTGTTGCGTACGTTGTGGTGCAGGAGGGGGTATCAGCGGCGTGTTTCGTCTTTGAGGTTTCTGACGCTGCTTCTCGTCGAACCGTGTGCAAGACCATCGAGTCGGCATTGTATGCAGACGTGAAAAACTTCAAGGTAAGACTTGAATTAAAGTTTCTGCTAGATGTGCTGTGAGTTGATTGTTGATTGTTGCTGCATTGTCCTGCTGTCAACTGTGCAGACTTCGTTGTGTGCTCTAAAAAAATACACACAGGTGGTGATACTTTAGTATAGGCTGTACCCGAAACCCTTAGGCATTGTCCTCTTAATTCCATTGTTTTTGTTGACCCGTGGAGGACATTGCGTCGTAGCTCATTGAAGCTCTATAAATTCATGACTGGCTAGTATTACAAAGAGTACATAATCATGGTATAGCATGGTTTCTATAGCCCTTTCTAAAGTTGTTGCCAAGATGCTTTTTGAATGGCAGCACACTTTCTAATGTCCTTTGTTGTCTCTGATCTTGTGTCCAGTCGATGACCTACCCACGGTATGAGATTCAGGCCAAGGTCAAGTCAGCTAGCCAGTTCTCGGTCAAGTACGTAGGCAGTGTACTGGTACAGACTACGTTCAGCGTGATTGATGAAGCAGCTAAGCGCCTTCTCTCCAGCACCAACCCTGCCAAGGTATGCCATTGTTGTTGCAACGATGCATGGGTGCAACCGACCACAAAGCATCATTTCCTCGAAGCAATCTGTGCGTATATGTGTGTGTGTGTGTTCGTGCGTGTGTGTGTGTGTGTGTGTGTGTGTGTGTGTGTGTGTTCGTGCGTGTGTGTATGTGTGTGTTTGTATGAGACAGGTACTATATTCAAACTGGTGGCATGTGTGCATCCTTGGGTCAGAGAGTGAAGTAAATAGAAAGAGGCAGAGAGAGAGAGAGAGACTGTACAAGCACCCGAGGGAGAGTGATAGGAGGAGAGAGGACGAGAGACAGGACGAAGAAGAAACGGAAGAGAAATAGAGAATCGGCAAAGTGTCTATTCCATGGGTAGTGTTTTAAAGGGGAAGTTAAGGCAAAAATCAAAATTTCACCAGTTGTAGTCTTCGGGGTGCTGAGTCGAATGGAAGCTGAGACGCTCCCTTCCTACTTTAATCCCAATCGAACTCGCGCACTTCCACCGAAAATGGGTGACTGCGCCCTACTAGATGGGGATTTGTATTCAAAATGTCACTAAAAGCGCCATTTCGTTCTTATAAAAGCACGGATGGCCGCGATTGGCCCATATGTTGTAGTCTTTTGGACGCTGAGTCGACCGGTTTTGGTCCGAAAAGGCTGCGATGCAGCGTTCCTCCTATATTCCCAATCGAACATGGTTGAGCAAGCGGTCACGTGCTCCTGCGTTCACCAGTCACCTGGTCACCGTGCATGCAGGGTACAACTTACTAGCCTGTTTGACCTTTTTTGGGTGCAGTCCTGTCACTCGAGTTGAACTCGAGTTAAACCTTGGTGTGAAAGTTGTCGCCTGCTGGCGTGGTGACCAGGTGATTTGGGCACCCAGGAGCACGTGACCGCTTGTTCAACCATGTTCGATTGGGAATAAAGGAGGAACGCTGCATCGCAGCCTTTTCGGACCAAAACCAGTCGACTCGGCGTCCAAAAGACTACAACATATGGGCCAATCGCGGTCATCCGGGCTTTTATAAGAACGAAATGGCGCTTTTAGTGACATTTTGCATACAAATCCCCATCTAGTAGGGCGCAGTCACCCAGTTTCGGTGGAAGTGCGCGAGTTCGATTGGGATTCAAGTAGGAAGGGAGCATCTCAGCTTTCTCGGACCAAGACCATTCGACTCGGCACCCCGAAGACTACAACTAGTGAAATTTTGATTTTTGCCTTAACTTCCCCTTTAAGTGCACATAGTAGATTTGATCTGTGCTAAGTGAAATTTGCCGTCGTAAACTCAATTTGCCATCTTAAACTCGATTTGCCATCGTAAACTCAATGTTCCTGAGAATTCGCGAAAATGCAATGACATGTTATTCAGCGGTTTACAGAAACTGCCCAATAATCTGAAATCATGTCATCATCTCACTGCCTACCCTAACGGAATTATTTCCACCGATTACAACAGGCCTTAGAACTAGAAGCCACTCTAATGCTTCCATTGCCATATCTAAGCACCGGACAACTGGAGTAAATTCTTTTTCTAATCGTGCCGCAATTTTCTTTAATACACTGCCTGCCGAGTGGCGCAGACACCACCGTACCTCTACATTTGCAAACCAACTCATGGATCTTTTTAAAGACCCAGTGGCGTTTAAGAAGTACTTTGACCTTCTTTTTGGAATCTGTTGAGTTTCTCGATGATCTTGATAGTTCTTGTACTAAGCTTGAAGTTGACTTGGTGTTTGCTTACTGTACTGCTTGATGTCTGGATTCCAATTTTTTCTATTTTTTTCTTTTCTTTTCCTTTCCTTTCCACTTATCCCGTTATCGGCCCTCTTAAGAGTTGTGTGTATCACTGTTGAGGCATCCGATGGTAAATAAAATAAATACTACTACTATCTATTCTAAGATCTTCATGTATTTCTGCAATTCTCTTCCTTAGATTAACTTCGCATTCATGGATGTGGGAGAAGACAGGATTCGGCTTACAGGCATAACCAACTCGGTCATCTTTGCGGCTCACCCAACATCTTCCATTGCCTCGTTGAATGTCTTCAGCGAGGATGGTCGTGTATTTGGTTATGTTGTGAAACAGAAAGGCTCCGGCACTAAGTGTCACGTCTTCCGATGTAGCCGTCCATCGCTGGCCTTTGCCATTGTGGATATTATCAAAGATGTCATTCAGGACAACTACAAGGTGAGGATATGAAAGATTACCAAAATGATATCCGTGATATCCAAGTAATTGGCTATAGCAAGGTGTGAGGTGGGGAGGGGGGGGGGGAGGGGTGATTGGAGTTGGAAAGTACACATATGACATGTAAAATGCCCCTTGATCCAACATAGTCCTCATCCTTCTTTCTTCATGTACAGACAAATGACATCGATGAGCCAGTATCAAAGTCGGACGTGCCCAAAAGCAACGGATTACGTGGCTTTCTGGCCCGGCGTCGAGAGAAGCGATCCCATGGCAACGGCACTGCAAGCATCGGCCACCTAGCGGTGTCATCGCCGAGCAAGACGGCCAGTTCAGCAGAGCCTGCTGCTGCAAATGCTGACAGTCGTAATCGCTCCGTCAGCGACATAACTGCACCAGCAAGCTCTGCTTTTGATGGCAGCATGCCCAGCAGTGGTGTTCTGCAGCACAGGGTGGACTACTTGGGATCAATGGTCATGCACCAGGATGAGATTAGTAACACCGAAAGCCGACAGGTAATACTAATATTGTGTTCTTGGAACTTTCCTAGGTCATGCTCTTAGAGACTGGAGCACTGTTCGAGAATGGGCACTATTCCAGAGAGGGCTCTAATCGCGCAAGTACGGTACTAGTGCGGCAGACAGCAAAACATACAATTCTTCAGGGTAACATTAGGTACTTTGTACGGTCTTTGCACTAGCAATACTGCACATGGAACTGTAAGCAAACGTGTTGTGTGCACGGTCAGATACATGGAAATATAGGAGTGGGCAGCTCTCAAAAACATATACCCGTACGTTCACCATACATGTCTGTCAACTATCCGTATTTGATTGTCGGTGTCTATTCTCTATTGCTTGTGTGTGTTCCAGGTCGTTGAAAAGATGAATAGTGCACGCAACCATTCCTACATTCTGCAAATGAGCATATCAGACAGAGGCATATATCTTTGTGACGACCACCACAAGACTAAAGATATCGCCACCAAGTCCATCCAGTCAGTGCGCCTGCATCCGGAGAATTCACACTACGCTCTACTCATTGCCAGGCCGGACCCGAACAGTACGGAACGCCATTGCCATGTTCTGCATCAGATCTCGCGCACTGCCGATGACATCGTGCGCGACGTCACCCGACTTCTGGTGTGCAAGTCTGTACGATAAGTGTGCTGGATGTCTACAGCTGCTGTGCATGTGACTAGAATGTGCAAGAACAGTCACATGACTTACAGCATGTGACCTGAATGTGCAAGAACAGTCACATGACTTACAGCATGTGACTTGAATGTGCAAGAACAGTCAGATGACTTACAGCATGTGACTTGAATGTGCAAGAACAGTCACATGACTTACAGCATGTGACTTGAATGTGCAAGAACAGTCACATGACTTACAGCATGTGACTTGAATGTGCAAGAACAGTCAGATGACTTACAGCCCCTGTGCCTCTTTAATGCCTTACGTCATCAACACGTGAACAGCTCACATCTTGTGCGAGGTGGAGTGAAACAAAGACTTAATTCAGGCCATTCACAATACCCATGGTGATCTCCTTGGGTATATTCACCAGGTGCTGAAAATACCTACCGTTGTTTCGCACTTCTGAAGAAGTGAAGCTGATCTGATAGCCATCAAGTTATTGGCATGGATTTTTTTCCTCTCAACTTCCATAATTTGACCATGAATTGAAGTGCGAGACATTTTTTTCTTCAACTATTTCTTTAACCCATTGTCTGTATCATATAAATTAGCAAATGCTTGATTTAAAAGTTTTGGAATCCATAACAGAGATTTCCTAATTCTTCTTCTTTCTTTCTTGAAGAGAATGCACGAACGCTTGTTCGTGAAAAACATTTCTTGAGCTGTGATTATGGTGGTGAAGAGGATACAATTTGTATTTTTTTCTTGCCGTATTATTCTTTCACTTATTTTTTTAGAAATTGGGCTAAATGCTTCAGGTCGGCTAGTACTGGTGGTGTTCATATCCTCTACAAGAAACATGTGGATCGATCTACACTGTCAAAACGCTTCTGGCATGGTCACAAAGCAGCCAAAGACGTTCGGCGCACTTCAGACGTCACAGTACCGTAAACTGACCAGTCGACAGCATGGATAAGTCCTTGTGGGCACCGAGCAGGTCCCTGCGCAAGAATCATGCACTACCGTGTAGAAACTAGAACCACGCAGGCAGAAAATAAGACCAAGGGCTTATTTGATTCAAAGGCACTATGCGATTGGTTTGGGCATTATGCAGGAGCTTATACCCCGTTGAACATTATTATGATTGTTGTATTAAAGTATGCAGGAAGAAAAGAACTGGGAGCACTGTTAGTACCTGTAGCCAACATTTCACTTGCTAAACAGATACATGTACAATCATGGTATTATATTACCTAACACTGGTTCAAAACCAGTATTAGATAAACCAGGGGCGTCGGAAGGTATTTTAGTGTGGTACGGTCAGCCATCTGAAGTACAATTTACTCGTGGGGGAGAGGTGGCGGAGCCAAAATATTTGGAATTTTACATCCCAGATCAGTGTATTTTGTTGATTCACGGGGTATCTGGGGCAAAAAGTGGTCCGGTCAATACCGTAGTGACCGTACCATGTGCGACGCCCCTGTAAACCTTGTTATAGTTCACGCATATTGTTAGATTGACAGCATGAAGCACGACGGACGTAAGGAGTAGTCTCCTACCCCCTAGCATAATGAGGGTCAGAACTGGGTTCAACACCCATATGGTTCAAATGGTCCGCAGGGACTGGGGCTCTGCCAACCGCGGAAGGTTGTAGTAAGGTCACTGTTTCCGAACACAGTGTCCTCCACCTTGTTACATGCTGTCAATCTAACAATATGTACAATCATGTACATTCACTCAAGAATGAAGTACACGTAAAATAAAATTAAAAGGCAAAAAAATTGTACTCATGCAAGCAAAACCAGCCCATGGGCTTGTACGGCCTCACGGTGTGGGCTCTCAACCTGCTTTCCTGGGGCAGGACCTTGTAAGTGCTTACCTGTATCCCATGGATTCTCAGGCGCATGTTTGTCTGGACCGCACTGTGCACCGGCACATGAAATGGCCGCGCAGCAAACTTCTCCATAGACTGGTAGTTTATTTTAAAATTTATAATGTTACGTCTGACTGCTTAGTTCTTGAGACAAAACTCCAGCATGGCGGTTTTAAAAGAACCACCAGATCTCTTCAAAAAGAAGAAAGAAGTCCTTTCGCACATCTATTAGGCTGCAGTAAGTCCGCCAAAAGAATGTCAGGGGTGGTATTCATTTCACAGGCAAATTAAAAAGGTGAAAGGGGAAAATAAATCCGAAGAACTATCGACTGTCACCACTAGGACCCAAACTAGCACCAGGACTTTCACTAGCAGCAAATGATGCTATACCACACAACAACGAAGTTGTCGTCATCCTAAAAAATAGACAATTCAATGGATTTTACAGAATTCGAAGCTCCCGCCGCCTGCAAAAACACCCCAGGTTGTGGTGCTAGTGCAGAAGCCCAATGAGGAAAGGAGTCTGCTACTTCAGTAGCATGCTAGATTCAATGTACACAAAGTGAGTTTAGCAATGATGCAAGGCTGTGAGTAGACAATGATGCTCATGATCGACTATACATTTACACATACATACACGTACTGTAGTAAAGTGCTTGATTCGACTGTGTGCATGCTGCTTACGCACACAGTGCCAGTACTGGCAGTAGCACAGCATCCTGACCTGGATGTTCTTTTGCCGCCAAACCTACACATATGACTATGTGGCTACTCATTCAAAAAGAAAAAGAAAAAAAGAGGTTCAATGTTCGTCCCTTCGTAGTGTGCATTGGGGTGATAAGCTTCAAGAGCTGCATGTATATGTATGAGCATGTCGTGATCGTACCAGTGACACGTGTACAGTTTGCACCCGTCACTAGGGTCTCTGCATTGTATTAGGGACGATGGACGATTTGCTGAATAAAAATAGTTTTGTAATAGATGTGTCCACGCACACGAAAAGCTGTGCGGCTCTGAGGGTGCTAAACCAATTTTCAGCCGCGCACAGGTTACGCGAAGCATCCAGTCGTGCATGCATAATTATACACTAGCAGAGTAACTATGTAAACAAAATGGTACATTTGAATAGTGAGGGAAGAACATTTCCTTTGCTCGTTGAGTATTTGAGTGAAAACAAGAGCACAGCTTTACGTACCAGATACTGTGAGGAGTGCGGTACGTATGATAGCCATTTGGATTGCATGGCTGCCGCTTGATAATATCCTAGTCATGATCAGCTTCTTCATGTATCGTATCGCCAATGCTAACAGCATCCATCCTACATGTGGATGCAGTTGCATTGTACTGCAGTCCATAAAAGGGTATGGATGGGTCTGCGTGGGGCTGCGAGTTCAAAATCACCTCGTAATCCGCCGATTCGCTCGACTCCCAATCGTCAGATTCCATTGCCTCGACCTCAAGCAGCATTGCTGTCGCCTCAGTTGCTATGGTGCTGCCCGTCGACGGATGTAGAGTGGAATTTTTCATTCCTTCAACTCTGCATCTGCCTTCACTGCAAGCGCTGCACTCATGTCTATACTTGTTGGGCCCACGTCGTACATGTACGTCTTGCCTGTCATCAACCGATGCCTTGCCTCTTTTACCTTGAACTGTTCGCCAGGCTGTGTGGTCCGGTGCAGGTCGTCGATAGGGCGGCATTGTAGGCACTGGACCTGCTTCCTTGCCACTAGTGGACGAGGACGAAGCAGCAATGTTCTCCACGGACGCGGCTGGAGTGGTCCTACGCGAAACTGCGTACCTCTTTGGTGGAGGCCGAAGGTCATTGGCCGGGAACAGTTCGCGCCTGCATTTCCGACATGGCTGTGTCACATCGTACATTGCTCTGTTGTTGGAGAAACTATTATCACAATCTTCGCAGTCGAAACGAGCGTAGCCGATCATATCGTGTTTAGGCAGAGCACACAGACGTGCCGGTCTTGTAGTGGTCTTACATGCTTTCTTCCATTTTCTCTGACATTGTCGACATCCAGCCACAGGCTTTAGCTCGTCGGTCCTCCTCCAGAAAACTCGAAAGCATTGCGGACATTTGAACTGAAACAGTTTGCTCACCCTCGTGATCTTCGCATGCCTCTCCACATTCTCCAGGGTAAGGCGTGATGCCATGCTTCTAAACTCCTTGGGCGGGGAATTCGGCTAACCTCAGTCGCTCAGAGCTCCGGGACTCAGCTGCAAGATCTATCCCGGGTCACACCCTGCCCCGAGGTATAGCGCGGAGAGAAATGTTGCCTTCGATCTGACTCCCCAACGGGCTAGAAGCAGAAAATTATTCTGACGAAGGGAACGGATTTCAATGCGCCATTGATCACCAGGCCAGCCGAGCGTATGAGTGCTGGCACTCTTGCAGATCTACACTACAGAGTTTCGTGTGTCTAAACTAAAGACTCTAAAGTTGCACGTGGCGTTTGCAATACATGTAGTAGGCAACCCACACCCAGCCTACAGACTCAGTACAGATGGTAAAACGACATCGTAGCATATGACTGGGTCTCCACATCATGAACTACTTTTCGCGTATCGAAAGACTTTCCATGCCTAGCGCCTGTCATTATGCCAATTTAATTTATGATCATCAAGAGTAGATAAACGTTTACTCCACTCTTGCTGTCATCCAGCTGCGCCCGCTCCTCTCAGGCTTGCCAAGTAAGTAACTTAGTTGTGTAGCCTCTAAGGCCGTTAATAATGGAACAAACAAGCTTGTCAGGAGTAAACAGTGATTACTGGCTGTTGTGGAAGGTGCTGCTGGTGAGTTGTTCGTGCTGGTGTTCGCAACCACCGTGGGTGTCCCGACATATCACCGAGCGACAGTTCACCGACCGACAGCTCACCGAACGACAGCTCACCGAACACCCAGTTCACAGAATGCCCATTTCACCGAATGCACAACTCACACCCGCTGATGCCTAACCAGCACTGTAGTAAAATTAATATGTGTAATGTAACAAAAAAATTGTTTACATGTTTGTGTAATGTTTACTACTAATACTAGGGTTGAAACTAGGGCTGAGTCGGGTAGCATTTTCTTCGGGTTTCGGGTCCGGGTAGTTTTCCACGGGTAGCACGGGTACCCGATCGGGCAATGTTTCCATGGTAAGACCACAATGCACACCGGCCCCTTCCCTTGCACACTGGGTAGACATGCGTGAGTTATGTGTAGATCTACACGTGCACTGTAGACCTCTTTCTACATGATGTCATCTGCGACTTCGGGTTTTCGGGTACGATTCAGTACCCGTCTACCCGAGGTCCTCACGGGTAGCACGGGTACCCGACTACCCGTGCACACCACGGCACTACAAAAAACGATTATACCAAAAAGCGGCTGATCTAGCTATTTGTTTTACTGGCCTCTTTTACGGGCAAATTAAAGGGAAATGCATCCATTTTTCAAGTAGGGCTGAGATGAAAGACAATTTTGATATCGGTTCCGATGGTATATCTCTCGCCTCCGGGCCGTACGAAATTGCAAACTTGCCATATCGCCGATTTTCTGATTGCGTTTCCATGGCGACTACAGGTGATGACGCACATTCTGCTTAGCTCCGTGAGAGAGAAGATCGATCACTGCAGTGTCATTTTCAGTTGTCTTATTGTATTCACGATGCGAAAGAAGTGCTGTGTTCAATGCTGTTAGTGCCATGAACTGTTTATTAGTAGTCCTCTTCGTTGTGTACTGGGACGCGACACCGACAGGGGAAAGCTGGAGTGCGGAGACGTTAGCTGGCAAGCGAAAATCGTGACCGTCGGAACGAAGTGCTGAAATCTTGGTTGGGACAAATCAAACGTTCAGCATTTACCTCAACCAAGGACCATGCCGTTTGCTCTTTCCACTTCCTGAAGATGGATGCGCTGCCTGCTGGAGACTCTCCTATCTCTCGTAACATCTTCTGAAGCCA